TTGAACTACGGAAAAATGGCTGTTTGTACTGGGGCCATAAGATGTTCGTTCCTCTCTCCCTCAGGGGGGAGGTGTTGCAGGCAGTGCATGGCTCCAAACTATCAGGACATTCGTGGTTTGTTAAATCCCTGCAACTGCTTCAACGGCAGTTTTGGAGGCCCCATATGCACAAGGACCTATCTTCGTTCGTTCAATCATGCCAAGTCTGCGCTATGAGTAAACCTCGGCCAGGGAAACCCCCCGGTCTATTGCATCCCCTTCCGACCCCGAGTCAACCCTGGGAAGTCAACCTCTGGAGAAAGTAATTCTCTCTTGAAGACTTAGCAGAAGACAGACATCAGATCCAGTGGAATGGATTCACGGGGTCCAACCCAAAGTGTTGTGACAGAACGCTGAGCATGAGACACTTGCTCACTCCTGCTCCCTGTCTGCTGCACAAGATCACCTGAATATTATATGATAGTCTGAAATAATCTGCAGGACAAATGTGGAGTGAGGCCTAAGGATCCAGGTTGAGGGTGAAGGGATGATAATGTCCTGGCCTCACTGGTGGACCTCCTGATGGCACTGGTATTTCTGGCCACTGTGTGATACAGAGTGTTGGACTGGATGGGCCTTTGGCCTGATCCAACATTAGCATCTCTTATGTTCTTATGTTCTTATGACACAGCTCTAGAATTCTATTTCAAGTTTTCTCCTATAACCCCCCAAAAAAACTTTTTAGAATCTGAGGGATGACCTTTGTTCTTCTGTCAGCTTCTGTTCCATGTCAGTAAAACCTCATCAGGCTCCGAAAGTAGGATCATTGCACTTACACCCCATTTGACCCAGATGCACCATTGTTATGAAAACACTGTTACAGAATAAAAGTCAGTGGTTTGTAACAAACCATGTCTTTGGGGGGGACACTTGACATCAAGGAGAATAATTTCTGATGGCTGCAATCCATTTTTTTATCATTAAACTAAATAGACAAGAGGTTGTCCCTGGAAAATATCATGAGACCCGGCAGCCAACGAACAAAAGGAATCACTCTACCACTGACAGACATCACACCGTCACCTTCACTCCCACACTTCTTGGCATTCTATTAGCCCTGGAGCCAAAGAGTGCAAAAACTGCAGAAGAGCTGGAAATACATCTTTATAAAAGAATTTTACACAAACAACTGACTAAGGTCAGTGCAGGAGCAGCAAAGCCATTTGATGGATGTATTTGAAAGGACACACTAACTAATATTTTTCCAAGCTAACCCAGTTGACCTATGATGCTTTCTCATCTTTGTTTCCTGAGAAATCTGTATGTATGAGCAAAGGATTTGCCAAGAAGTGGCACTTCCACACAACCAGGTAAAGGTTGCCATAGGCTGAGACACAGTGTGGTGTAGTGGTTAAGAGCGGTGGACTCTAATCTGGAGAGCTGGGTTTGATTCCCCACTCCTCCACATGAAGCCTGCTGGGTGACCTTGGGTCAGTCACAGTTCTCTCGGAACTCTCTCAGCCCTACCTTCCCAACAAGGTGAATGTTGTGGGGAGAGGAAGGCAATTGTAAGCTGCTTTGGACTCTTTAAGTTAGAGGAAAGCAGGATATAAAAAATCCTCCTCCTCCTCCAGAAACAAACACGCACTGCCATATCACGGAGACATAAAATTCTTAGACCAAATGGAAAAGATGGATGGAGAATGAATGAACAGCTAGAACCTGTTATCTTGGGTGGAACATCAGTCCTATGCAGAGTTGCGCTAGTCTAAGCTCACTAAAATCAACCAGCTGAGACAGGAGTGGCTTTGCATACGATTGCACTACTAGTCCAGTACTGTCATCTCTGCCCAGCACTGGCTGTCCGGTGTTTCAGACAGGGATCCTTCTGTCATCTGAGAGGGTTTAAAAATTTTTTTTGGAGGTGTGGGGATTGAATAAGGGCTTGAAGCATGTAGATCACATACTCTGCCACTGAGATATGCCACAGATATTAAGAGAAGGTAAAACTGACACTTCCTTTAGTAAGCTGATTAGCTCCCCCACCCACCCCAAGTACATCCAGTTCTCATCCCCAAGCAGGACTGCATTTTTGTTCTAGGCTTCCAAAGCCCACACATGTCAGCGAATGCAAACATGGATCTCATGTCTTGTTTCATTCCTTGCATGCTGTCTTTAAACATGATTTAGTTGGAAGTAAACCCAGTTGTTTTGATTCAACTTACTTCCAAAAAAGTGCATTCTAGAATTAGGGAAACGATTCTGTCCATGGTTGACCTCCAGTCTTCAACATTTAGATTACAGTTTGCCCCAATGAAAGGTACCCTGTAGTCTTGTTATAGGTATTTCTTTAAGAAATAAAAGAACAGATTAGTGTATGATGATAAATTTCGACAGGTTAATTTAAAGGCTACCATGAAAAATTGCCCTTCCATTAAATTGGGATTCTCAAATTGCTGCATAAAGATGTATGATAATCTGAACAACTTGTTGGGTTGGAAGCAATATTTTTTTTTCTTATTAGCTGAACCCATCACTTCTTTTGTTTTGACAGGTGTCTGCATAATGGATGTGTTCTAAAATCACTAACAGAACGCTTCAGGGATATTTTGCAGCAGCTTAACCTCACTTTTCTTTTGATACCCGAATTAAGGATTTTGGTATTTTTATTTTAGTTGGGGGAGGGGGAGATCCCACTGCTTAATCTTTTCACACCTCTCAAGAGGATTTCCTTCTTAAGAGGCTACCCACAGTGTGGAAGTAGGAAAGAGATTTCTGATTAGTATTTTCTTTTAAAGAGTCACTGGTTCCTATGCATTGACAACAATCGAAGAAGAAGAAGAAGAACTGGACTTGGATATCTAGATAGCCACAACATATCATTTATAAAAAGTGATGATAAATTGATACCGGCCTTTTTCTGGAGACATACCGTTGATTCTCAGTTTTATACTGAAATTTACAAAAGTTTACACTTAGAAGTAGGTCCCGTTGGTTTCACTGGAATGCAAGTAAGTGTGACTTGGATTCAAGTTAGGTTTCCGTGTAATTTCCAAATTTGGGCTGTGATCCAAAGCACACACACTTGGAAATCAAATACAGTGAAATTAGCAGGACATACTTCCAAGTCAAATATATTTAGAACTGAGGCAGAAGATTCAAGAGAAACGGGACTGATTGGATTGTGCCAGGCAATCACCTGTGGCCATGCAACTGAAGTGCATCCATCATGGCAGGACAGCACATAGATGGTTAGCTCCACAAGAAAATGGGGGGTGTACCAAAGAATCTTGCAGGATGCTGCAGAAGGTTCTTATCATGTGAACTTTCCATTTGTGCTGGGGACATCCAGTATATTTGGAACTTGTTCTATAAGACTGTGAACGCATTAAAGAATAAGTAGAATATATATGATGCTTCATTCTTCAGCAGAACAGATGATCCTTTCTGGTTAGCAGCAATACCATGCAAGACTGCTTTATTTGCACAGCTTCCTCTGGGGTATTTATTGAGGGAAACAAAATGCATCTTGCTAAATGGTTAACTTTTGTGCAGCAGCCAATTACTCTTTTTGGCATTTGTTTCATCTGTTTAGGGTGTTAGGGTGTTTTCCTTCCAGGGATTCCTGAGACAAATTAATTTGAACAAGCTCTCCTCACTGCTAAGCCTCTGACATTACATCTTCCACTGACTGGTTCCCCGTGAATGCTGGAAGTCACTGCTTGTTTTACAGTTGCCTGTTTTGTCGACTGTGTGTGTATGTGCTGATAGTAGCATGGATGGAGCAACATCTTGCATTGACAGGTTTCAGCCAAGAACAACAAAACCTAAGTAAAAGTGTTCCAAAGCCCCCTGCATTCATGTTTATGAATTCTAATCCTCAGCACATGAATAAATACATCTGACAAACTGCAGAGTGCCTTACAAAGGCCTTTCCTGACCTTCCTAATTTGAGTTCAATTGCATGTGCCGTGATGAGAAGCAAAGTTGGCCTTGCCAATGTTTTTTGAGGAAGGCAAGTGCTATGCTAGCACTATTTGGAAAAGGGAATTGCCATAAAATAAGTTCTAATTACCCTATTAATCACTTGGAGAGACTTGTATCTTCAAATTATCATAATTGGCAACTCAATTTAACCATTTTTGGTGACTATTCATTGAAATGCACTTCTAAAATAGCTGGCTCTGAATGAAACAAACCATTGGAAGACGAGGTCTTGGAGCGGTCTGTTGGGTTTTGATGACAGGTTGAAGCCAATGAAATGTGAATGAAAGGAGTTTGTGGAATGGATCTTTCCTCCTTCCGTATGTAACCCTCTGCAGCTTCCAAAATGATAGTCTTGATGGTTATGGGGCCTTGAGAAAAAGTTATGATTTGGAAGTGCTGCAGTGAGAATGAGGAACCAGAAGACGTTGCTGCCACACATATTTGTGAAATTACGATTATTAATTCCACCCCCACTTTGCAGCTGTTCAAGTCAACCTGTGCTAAAAGACATAGGTTTGCTGCCACTATGGTCCCTGCCACACGAGGGACAAAAAGAACGGGCAAAGTGCGGCTTTAAAAGCCACACCAAAATAGGCAGGTGGCAGCGGGATCATACAGATCCCATGAGCCGCTGTGCAATTGCTCCCCAGCACGATCAGATGCCTAGGAGACCGGGGAGGAAGCCACGGGAGGCTGCCAAACTGTGCATGTCTGAGCATGCGCAGTTTGGCCAGGACCCGGGACTTATGTCTCTCTTGAGAGGGAAGGTGACATAGTATAGCCCAAGAGAAACCACCAAGAAAGACTCTGCAGAGGAAGGCAAAGGCAAACCACTTGCCTTGAAAGCCCTTGACTGGGGTTGCCACAAGCCACCACTTGACACTACTTTACACTAATGCTCTCATCCTTCCTGATGCCATATAAGAGGACCCTCCCCACATGAGCACTTGTTCATATCACTTATTAATCCGTCATGGTATTGAAATATCCAAGAACATGATATTGTCTCCTCAATTTTTTGATAGATGTGTTACCTCATTTCCTAGCAGAGCATTTAGACAGGCTTCTGATGCATCACAGATGGCGGTAAGGTCATGGCCTCCCTCCAGGGCCAGCACCATGCGACCATTCGCTAGCGTCAACAACTGTTTGATAAGGTGACCGAAACCTGGAGTACCAATAAAAGATATAGATTATCATATTAGATTATCACAAAGTACATGCTGTATGTTATGGTATAATGGGAAGTAGTAGCATCACTGCAGTTACACAATTACTTTTGTCACAATCTAAGATTGATGGTGTGCCACCAAGTAGGGGAAAAAAGCAACAACAACAAAACCCTGTAGAATCTCAATACTGTAGCAGCATCAGAAGATGAGAATGTCTGAGTTTGCAGAATTAGGGTTGTAATGACATGTACTCAACCATCTGTAGACTTTATGCATTGGGACCTTCCTGCTTCCACTTCCTGTTATAGCCCATTAAGCCACCTCCCAGTTTTGTTCTAGGGTGACAGCAGATCCTCAGGAACAGTATGGGGTAAAGTGTGGCTCTATAGTGGGAGGGGGAATAGGTGTAAATCACCAGTATATCTTCTGCAAATGAAAATGCCATTCTGTTGGAGGAACTGCATGGCTGGATACATGCCAATAATCAGTGCTGGAGCATCACCCTTGTCAACCAACCAGAGGCCTCTGGAACTTAACAACATATGAACAAGGGCTCTTTTTGTAGCAGGAACTCCTTTGCATATTAGGCGACAAACCCCTAATGTAGCCAATCCTCCAAGAGTTTACAGTATCCCTGTATGAAGAACTCTGTAAGCTCTTGGGGGATTGGCTACATTAGGGGTGTGTCGCCTAATATGCAAAGGAGTTCCTGCTACAAAAGAGCCCTGTGAACAGCCGTATTATAATAGGGTCTGTCTAGTCCCTTTCCCCCACATTGGTCAGCCAAATGTCCTCAGGAAGCAGGGCATGATTACAATTGTCCTTCATTTTTATGCCCCAGCTTCAGCTGTTCAGTGGAATACTGGTACTGAACATGGAGGCTTCATGTAGCCATTTTGGATAATAGCCATTTTATCTTCCATGACTTTGTCTATTCCACCTTGAGAGCCATCACCAAAAGTGGTGGTAGTGAATTCCATGAATTCCATATATGTACAAAGATTAATTCTGTATAATGATATTATATAAAAAGGCCTTCCTTCTATCTGTTCTGAACAGTCTAGTGCTGCCCATGAAGTTCTTTGAGTGGCACAAATTTCACTAAAAGGAGAAAAAAAGAAAAAGAAAAGTAGTACAGGTACTCACACCTTAGTTGTCTTTTTTCCTACAGTAACCCCCCCCCACACACACACACTTTAATTGTTCTTCACAGAGAAAGTGTCCTAATTCCTTAATCATTTCCTGCATATTTTGTAAGTTGATGATATCCATTTTGAGAACTGGTGCACAATATTCCAAACGTGACATTAAAATATTGCAGATTTATTTTCAATCCATTTCCTTATAGTCCCTAGCGTGGAATTTGTCTGTTTCACCATAGCTACTCACTGAACAGATCTTTTCAAGACTCCAAGGTTTCATTCCTGGTTAATCATCATCAGTTTAAGTCTCACTGGTGTATGTGTATAGCTAGGGTTTTTTGCTTTAACATGCACAACTCTACAGCTACTTATGTCAAATGTTATTTGTGATGTTGTTGCCTCCTCACCTAGTCTGGAGAGATCTTCTTGGAGCTCTTCACAGCCTGTTTGGTTGTTATCATCCTAAATAGTTTCACGCCATCTGCAAACTTGGTCATTTCACTGCTTATACTTAAGTTTGCATCATTTATTTTCAAATGTAATCACTCTAGACCTAATGCAGACCTGGGGAGGGGCACTACTTACCCCATCTGTTGGAAGAAATGCTATTTACTCATTCCACTTTTAAAATATTTCAGAACCAGCTTTCCATTTTGCTAATTTCACTGTTTTACTACTTAGAAATTACATACAGGTTAATAAAAAATTACTTAATTCTGTCATATAATCTTAATTTTCCCATGTGGAATTTTTTTTAAAGTCTGCAAAAGACTTAATTTAGTCAGGCTAATAAAAAAGCAAGGAAGGAATGTCACGTGAGTAACCCCTGATATTTAGCCAATTTCCACTTTCTTCTACCTTGAGGATATATTTCCATCTATTCATCCATGATGAACGATATTGCACAGGACACACTGAAACTTGTCTTTGCTGCACAGCAAGAAAGGAATGACTAAGAGAATGAATCTAGGGAGCTCTACTCAGACGTAAGTCCTATGTTCCTCCCAGGAAAGTGTGGCAATCCTAAGAACACTTTTCTGGTCGTAAGTCCCACAGAATAAAACTGGCCTTGCTTCTGAGTGGATCTGCATAGGATTACTCCCTATTGGCTCTCATAGCTTAGCTATAAAGCTTAGTAAGAAATTTAATGTTCCTATTGGCTCTCATATACTTACTAAGCTATAAAGCTTAGTAAGAAATTTAATGATATTTTAATATTTTAATTCATTATTTTAAGCTGCTTCTGTTAGAAATGGAAAATCTACCTCAATCCAATCTCTTGTTTGCATTCCGAAATTTTATTACATCATACAAAGGGCATTAAAGGCATACTCTGAATAATGTATGTTTCTAAGAGCAACTTTACAGAATTTCCACTGTAGTTTCTCCCTACTGCTATTTATGATGTATCAAGGACGTAGTGAGACTTTTGGGCATAAAAGTTATGGAAAGCTATGATGACACTGAGATAAAAGTCCAGCTATTGCACTGGGCAAAAGGTTTGCAGAGAATCCCACTTTCCCACTGGTAATGCAGGATCAACTGAGAGTCTTCTTTTCAAACCACCAAACTGTCCACTGCAGTGGAGGCTGGTGACATTTTTCAGGAGTTAGCTGTGCCCATTCTCAGCCACAAGCTTTACTGATGACATCAATGGAAGGGAAGCGTATGGAATTAAGTTTCTGACAGCTGTGGTAAATAAAAAGGGGGGAACATCTTCCCAGCAAGACCAGTGAGATATATTCCTCGTGAAAGGCACCACAAATTACAAATTTCCTGGACAAATCAGAATAAATGTGAATAAATGATAGAGCCTTATTTTCACCCTTTCAATTGAAAGCAATCTACTTGCTGGTGCTTCCAGGAATATCAGTGTGGAATATTTGCTACTTGCTCAGGAGATGATGCCAAATGTTCGTTTTAAAAGGACAGCTGCCAAGTCTTTTGTGTAAGCCATAACATCTGGAAGCTCTGTATCATAATCTTAGATGTATGGAGATGGTCTTCTCATTTGGTTACTCAATGGAAAGACACCCTGAACATGCTCAGGAATACTGTTCTTCACATATCCCAAGCCACTGAAATGAAAAGTTCTTTGATGAACTGGATGAGTCCAAGCTTAAATTTTCTCCTGGATGATGCTTACACAGCAACCACAATTTTCCCAGTAGAAAAATGCTGTTATTAGTAACATTACAAGTTACCAGAATGATGATAGACTAGAGGCTTTCCTCAGCCTAATTGTACAAGGTACACTAGAAGGCTTTGCAGTACAGATGGAAATTACTTTAACTATCAGCTTCTCAGCAGTTTGTGATGGAAATTCTTAAGAAAGGTTTGGATCCTGCAAATTCCAACAACCCTCAAAAGATATTAGCTTCCTAAAGGACATCTCCTGGTAATGAAAAATAGCAAAACAATTGGAATACAAATTCCAGATACGTATGGCTTCAGATAGGCTTCAAGGTGTGCCAAATAATGAATAAATAGAGGAGTACTGTGAGGAGAAGAATCAGGTTTTCTTCAAAGCAATTATTTACCATCAGATTGGGCTTTAAGTATGGACAGGGTCTTTATCTCCCTCACCTTCTGAGTACAAGACTTCAGAAACTAAGACCATATCCAGGTCCAAGCCATTCAGAAGCCATTGTGCCTGTTTTGACCATGGCTTCACTAAACCTGCTTTCATTTGAATATGGCATAATATAAATAGAGAACCAGTGTGATAAAGTGCTTAGAGTGTCAGACTAGGATGGGGAAATCCAGGTTCAAATCCTCACCCTGCCACGAAGCTCCCTAGATAACTTTGGGCCAGATACTGCCTCTCAATCTAATCTATGTTCATAGGGTCCATGTGATAATAAGATAGAGCAGGGGAGAATGACATACACTGTTCTGAGCTTCTTGGATGAAAGGAGGAATAAAAATGTATTAAAGGAGGTGGCATGCCGTGTTCCCTCTAAGCTGAGTTAGTGTGAGCTAGCTCACAGTTTTGTAGCTTCCAGCTCACACATTTTTGTCTTAGCTCAGGAAGGATGGGTCCAGAGCAAACTAGTTTATGCAGTAGCCAAATTGCTCACTGACAACTTTAATGCCAGTAGCTCACAAAGTAGAATTTTTCTCACAAGACTCCACAGGTTAGAGGGAGCATTGGTGGCATGTACTCAATAATAAAGGAGGTGGAAGATTTAAAACAAGATGGCACTTGCTATGAATTGAAATGGCTCAGGATGAAAATGAATTCTCAGTTTAGCCTTAGACACCCTTTACAACTAGCTATCTGGTGTGAGTGCCTAGGTTTGGCAATGCAGTTCAAGCCATTTCTGTATTTAAGGCCACTGTTACTCTGAATTAGTCCCATTCATTTCATTGAGCTGCTCAAGAAAAAGTAGGATTATATTAGAACCCAAGCAAGTAAATGACTTACCCAATGACTTTCTGCTATGTCTACTAATATTTCTGCCCACAGAAATCCCTAACAGATCTTTAAGGCAATTAATTAAGTTGATTAATAAGTTTTAACTCAAGCTATCTAGTTGATAAAAGAGGGCAATGATCTGTGATTATACACCACCAAACTTTCTGCTCCCACTTTTATGCTTTGATAGAGAAAGGGGATTTGGAAATGTTGATTTATTTAGTTTGTAAGCTTATGGAGTTGGCAGGATTATTTTAAAAAATTCTATACAACACCTAATAGTGTATTAACTAATAAGAAATAATTTTTAGTATCGTTTCAGTCAACTAAATCTCTTCATTAGTAAATTAATCGTCAAGCTAATGGATGGGACCAAGTGGCCCTTTAACTGACTGAGAAACTTTCCAGTAGGCCACTGCCCCAGAGACTGGCAGCC